GCCTCAACTGGCACGGGCGGGGCTGGGCTCGCACGGGGCTGGGCTCACACGGGGCCGGCTCAGGCTCGCACGGAGCCGGCGATGCCGGCTGGGCTCGCACGGGGCGGGGCACGTTATGGCCCAGGCTCGCACAAGACCGAGCTCGCACGGAGCTGGGCTCGCACGGGGCCGGGCCCGCAAGGGGCCGCGCTCGCGAGGCCGGGCTCGGGCTCGGGTTCGCGAGGCTGAGTTGTCCTAAGCATGCAAGACGGGGCCGAATCAATCGAGCTCGCGGCTGAAGCAGCAGCGGCGAGCCCTCTCGGGTTCGTGGCCTGGCTTGCTACTCTGGCGGGCTGGGCCAGGTATGGGCTCGCTTTACTGTTCACGCGTAAAGGCTTTCACATCTTAAAAAAATGCAACAGCGACGAAGAACAGCGCTCACTCTTCTTCTCGTTCACGTTCGACGTTGCAACTCTTTGAACCTTTCCAGCTGCTTGAGTGTTTTCCTTCTCTCTTTCTCGTTTTCAAAATAGTCAAGGAAGCTAAAAAAATCGCGCTGCAGTAAGGAGGAACTTCCTAGCCCACTATATTTGCCACGTGGGGTCCAGAGGAGCAACTTCCCTAGTAATGGACAATGCAACTGTATGCTGTCTCAGTCTCTTGCTGCTACAGAGCGATCTACTTCGCAAAAAGTGACTTTGTCCTGCGAAGAGGTCCTTTCTGTAGTCGGTCCTAGCCCGATTCAACGCCACTTTAGCCTTCTTTCTAGTCGACGCCAATCCAACTTCCTTCTTAGCACGTCGCGCGAACACTGAAGCGGACGAAGTCTCATGATAGTAAGTGCTCACTCTTGGACATTCGTGATCGTGATACCCTCCTCACCATATAAAATTTTGGGTTTCGTTTCTTCCGACAAAGACTCAGGCTGTATCAGCTCATCAAATTAAGAATGATCGAAACGACAGGCGATGATGATTTTTTTGCAAAGAGTTGTCCTTGTCAATGCGAAGTTGTCGCTTGTCAATATAAAGCGGCTTGTTTGATGTCTTCGAAGTCAGCAGTAGAGATCCATTGTGTGCAACAGCTCTTAAACTTAAACATCTGTAAAAGTGCTTATTGAAATATGAGTAGTATGGTTGACTGCTCGACGTCGATCCTGTAAGTATCAGTTGTACATGTACTCTATCTATAATGAGAAAGACTTCTACCGACAATTCGCTTTTCGAATATTTTGATCTCTGTTGCTGCATTTTGTGATAGTTACCGCAGAGACAACAACTAAACCTCCAAGATGGTACAACATTGACTTCTAATTGTTCCAACTACTGAACTCCTAGTGGTAATCCTGGGAGTAAATTCCTGTGCAGTACATAGATAATAGCATCTCCTTTTCATAAACATCATAATTTATTCAGTAAGTTCTATAATTACCGGACTCCGGTCTAGGTAGGTCATCATCATTATTCATTTGTACACAATCTGCATCTTCTGGCACATAGGTTTCGACAACAATCATCTGAAAAAAGACTTCTAATCAGCTCAAGAAATAGTGAAAGCTGATGGATAAACGTATTCCACATTCTGCCACGTTGCAAATTTTCAGCGCACAATTGAACCATCTTGAAACTCGCAGCTCGTCTTCCATCATTCTGCAGCCTGTAGTTGATGTTACTGGTTATGTAGATGTAATCGATGATAATCTCATAGTGCAGAGATGGAGAGGCGCAGAGATGGAGAGGTGATAATCACATAGCACAGTGCAGAGATGGAGGAAAAAAGGGAAAAGTTTGAGTTAGTCCTTGTAGAAAAACAGTCACTATCATAAGATGAAGCCAATTGCGTTTTATAAGGCGCAAGTACATTGGCTTCTGCTCATGATTTTCCATCCATCCACTCATACTCAAAATTTGATCGAATCCCGTTCGTTCCTCCGAGAGTCAGGCAGGGATAGCCAAAGCTTTCGTCCCACTTCTTGTCTGTGAATTCGAGAAAAAGAATGCTGGTGGAGTTCGTCCTTAGCAAGAAATGCGAATTGATTAGAGCTACCCCGAATCCATCGCTGTCCTGTGAAGATCCCTCTTGAAAAGTATCGACCTCCCTTCGAGAAGGTTGAGGAATCTTCGGCACTAGAGATGAATGAGCGATAGCCTACTTCCTTAAGTGATCTCGTAGGTAGTTGCTCTGAGAAGAATGATCTTCTTGAAGACCTGTAAAAGTAAATTTGTTGAAAAGCAGGCTACGTGTCTAAGCCCTAATGGAAAGCTGCATGATGTGATTGAAGAAAGTAGCCTATAGAGTGAGTGTATATCCGGATCTAGAAGCACTGAAGCCATACCTTTCCATGTTGTAGCGTCCACATGAAGAGTCGTATACTTTCCCACACCAACTTCATCCTAACTTCCGCTCCGTGGTAAGCATATTTTCGATTTCTGTGCTTCGAAGCTGCGACATAATAAAAATCGTCTGCGTCGCCCAAACTTTACAGATAATGAAAATCGGCGTCTTTGGCCGCTCATTTTCCTACTTCAACCTGTAATTTTTGATTTTGATCACTTTAAGTTGAAGAGCGTCATTATATTTATAAAGACGGAGAAGGTTTGAGAGGTGATTTTTTTCCAATAGAAAGAAATACATGATTGATGATGGAGAGAAAAGCGATTTTGTTGTACTTAATCAATGATAGATGAAGCTCAGTACACAAAACTCACTGATGGTAGTGAAAATCAATCACGAGTAGGCATTTCAAGGCAAATACATTCGCATCAATTTGCAACAGGTCCATCCATTTGCTCACTTTCAAGATCTGACTGGATTCCACGCTGCAGCTCAACCGCAGATCAAATCATGCATCTTATCTTTTGTACCTGGGGTTTCACTTTCATTGTCATCGAGAAAAAAGGAGTCAATTCCTACTTACTCTAGCACAGGAGACTGCGGCTCATTTGTCACTATTTTGGACTGTAGAGTAAGATTAGACGTGGACTTAAGTCCGATCAATTAAGTCGACATCACTGAGTTTGTTTCTTGTGTCTAAAACCTTAAGCTGTAGCACCTCTTTGTTTTCAGGCCCACGTATATGTTGGGACTCCGGATGAATATGCGTTGAGTAGGCACATCACTCGCGCATCAATTTTCCTCGAACGTCAAAACAACCGTTGTCCAAACTCTGCAACTGCATACTCTTAATCCCATTCCCACCCAAGTACAGTCTGCATGTAAGTAACGACTTCCATCCCTGGAGAAGAAGAATGGAAAGAGCATACTACCTAGAGGAGAAAAAGTGCGATAATCAGCAGAGGGCGAAAAGGCATTCCTTTTTCTACAACAGAACAACTTTCAACGTCAGAGCGAGCTCATGTCTCATTAACGCATAGTAAGTTCATCTGATCTCCGCGCTCTGATCCAGTGTCACACGCCGTTTTTAATACCTGGACAATTCATCTGAGTGATTCACTCTGCTATATCGACATAGAATTTCGCGGCAAATAGTTGGCCCCACTGCCATTCGTAGATAAACCCTCTAACGGCCTATCTTCTGGTCCTCTCCTCAGGACACATACCAATACTCGATACTGCAGTAACCTAATGATGGGGAGAAGGATGAGAAGTGACCGCGATGGTAATGATAGATAATGATGAGTCGTGACGATGATAATGATTCTACACATTCAACCTTGCACCTGATGAAGATTCTTGCCATCTTTGAGACACACGAGGACAGTAGCAAAATTGTGTGTAACCATACTAGTTTGCGTCTGCTCTTGTTGGTTATGATGAGTTCCCAAAGCTGCGAACTATACCACTTATCTGTCCTCCCGCCGGAGGAGCTTGCTCTGTTTCGCCGCCTTCTTTCCCGCACGCTCACTGTTCGCGAGATTTTTCGCTTTGCCTTCTGTTGGTTTCATGTCCACTTCCACTTTCTCTACGGCAGCCGCTGCGGATCCCTCTTCTGCTCCAACAGTGGTGGCACTGGTAGTCGGTTTCATGTCCACTTCCACTTTCTCTACGGCAGCCGCTGCGGATCCCTCTTCTGCTCCAACAGTGGTGGCACTGGTAGTCGGTTTCATGTCCACTTCCACTTTCTCTACGGCAGCCGCTGCGGATCCCTCTTCTGCTCCAACAGTGGTGGCACTGGTAGTCGGTTTCATGTCCACTTCCACTTTCTCTACGGCAGCCGCTGCGGATCCCTCTTCTGCTCCAACAGTGGTGGCACTGGTAGTTGGTTTCATGTCCACTTCCACTTTCTCTACGGCAGCCGCTGCGGATCCCTCTTCTGCTCCAACAGTGGTGGCACTGGTCCTCGCGTTAGATTTGGAAATAAAGACTTGTTGGTTGGTGATGAAGTCAAAGGCCTGGAGTCGAATGTAAAGCACAAGGAAGTAGCCACTTCTAGAAGTTCGAAGAAGCACTTATCTTTGTCCGCTTAGAGGACTAGCCATAACGATTGCGCCGCCCATTGCGTCATTACCGTTGTCGGCACCAGGTCCGGTCTGAACAGCCGAGGCCATACTAACAGAAGTTGGAGAAGATTGATCTTGACTAGTCACCTCGTGACCATCTTGTTCCAGCCTGATTTGGGGAGTAGAAGGAGCACTATCTTGCTCGGCGTTTTGTTCAGCGTCTGTGGCTGTTGTTGTTGTGGACGGCTTGTCTTGCGCAGAAGCCGCGTAAGAAGATGTGATGGCTCCAAGATCCTCATGCGCGTTGTCGGCACCAGGTCCGGTCTGAACAGCCGAGGCCATAGTACTAGACACAGTGCCGCCCGCTCCCTTTGCGGTGATGTCAGTGGTCATTGCTCCTGTCGCGTCAAAGTGGGCGTCGACGTCCTTCCCGTTACCAGCAAGCTGCTCGTGGCTCGGAGTCTCAGATGAAGCAGCAGGCTGCAGAGCCTCATAGTTCCATGCCGATTGTGACGATGCAGCCTCTTGGTGTTGGTTACTTGTCTCGAAAGACTGTTTGGCACCTGGAGTTACCTCCATGACTTCCAGAGGCACGTCGCCGCCGTGCTTGGTGCCACTTCCGCCTGTCGGTGTAGCCTGATCATTCTTGTGACCTTCGTCTCCAGGTCCTGCGGCTCCGTCTGGCTTCCCTTTTGGACTAGGAGACTGCGCTGCCTGTTGTAAAATACTAGGTGGACTCGGCGTTCCCCCTGGAGTACTTCTAGATGTGCTGGTGCTGGACGTTGCTTGTAGAGTAGTAGATGTGCTGGCGCTGGACGTTGCTTGCAGAGTACTAGAGGTGCTGGCGGCGCTGGACGTTGCGTATAGAGTCTTAAGACGGCTGACAGCGTCAGCGGCGCCATGTTGATCTCCATGTGGGTTATTAAGATTGCCAAGATCTCCTTGTGATTCAGACAAGCTTGCTGCCGTCAGTATTTTTTGTTTCACCACCTCTCGCCCAGCGTCTCCAGGGACGTTCCTATTCGAAAGAGTGACGTAAGCGAGTTGGCAAAGAAAATAAAACTACGAACTGCTCCCCACCGGTATGCGCTCGCCATTCTTCTGGCATTGAAACAAGCGCCAGCCAGCCCGAGCGCAGGCCGCGCACAACAGGCAAGGACGAGACGCCCCAGGCAGCCTCCAACCACAGAGGAAGAAATGGGCGGGACAAATCCCCCGCGGCCAGCCGGACATGCCCAAAGCGCAACAAGCTCCGCGACTCCCACGCAACTGGCGCCCGAAGATGCAGCGGGCGCCCAGCCCCAAGCCGGTCACCCGGTGCCCCTGCTTCGATTAGCCGGGCCGCCCCCCTCATCATGCCAGGCGGCTGACGCCGGTCACAGCGTGCGCCAAGAAACCCTCAGGGGCCCCGAACTAATACCCGCAGCGAAAAAGCGGCCAAAGAAAACGAAAGAGCAAGCCCCAGCTAGCAATCTACGGCGAGGGGCGCGCCAGAATGAGACGAACAACACCCCAGCCAACCAGCCCCGAACGCAAACACATACAACAAGCCAGCCGCAAACACCTCTGCCCCACCCGTTCTGCGCCGCCTCATGGTTCTATGATGCTCAGCCACGAACATGCCAGCGACGAGGCGGGACTACCTAGCAGACAGCAGAGGCAGACAGAGAGAGAACCAACAGCCCCAAGAATGAGCACAAACGCACCGACCCGGGCGAAAGTGAGGGAGGCCCGAGCGACTGCGGAAAAGGCATAGCAACACACACCCACCACACCACCTGAGGGGCCGACAGAAACCTCCCACGCAATGCGACGAAGGAGAGCGAGCCCAAGGGCCACCCTGTGAGCAGACACTTTGGAGACAAGGGCAAAAGAGCTGGGGCGCGGTGCATCAATGCGAATCTTATTCGAAATAAAAGGGACCCAAAGAAAAGCACCAAACAAAACGGCGCGCTTTTCCGGAGTGGACGGGAGAGCTCCATCCACCCGCCCTGCGGGAGGCGTTGTGGAACTCCGGAAAAACGCGCCTCTTTGCTTGTTGCTTTTCTTTGGGTCCCGTTTTTAATGTGCTTCGCATCCATGCAGCGAGCTGGCCTCGCCTCTTTCACCCTTGCCTCCAAACAGGCCCGACGCTAGCCCCCGCCCAAGAAGCGCGCGCACATTTTACAGGAGAGAGTGGGCCAGGGCCATCCGTCTTGGCAATAAACCAAAAACAGCACCGAGGCAAACGAAAAGAGCACGGACAAAGAAAGACCGACGGCGCACACGCCGAAGCTGCCTAAGAGGCCCCACGACATGACCCGGCCCAAGCAACACCCCAGACCAGAAACAACCAAGCAGAAGGCAACCTGAAGAACCACCGAACAGACAACAAACCCAGCAGCATCGCACACTCACACAGCCCTCCCACGAAATTCAGGCGGACAACGCGCAAAGCGAACAAGCAGCGGAGCTACCTCAGCGAACCACGACCCAGGCCAAGAAAACAAGCCAGAGCACGAGCCCGCCGTGGCCCCAGCGGAATGGAAGCGGGGACGAGGAGCTGTCCGACGCCCCTGGCGGGGCCAAAGGAGAAGGGCGGGGGTGAAGCACAGGCGGAAAGACGGCCGCAGCCCAGAGGGTGCGGCGACAGCCGAGGCGCGGGCGGCCTCTAAGGGCCAGGGCAGCTGGGAACATTTACCACACACGCACGCATTACCAAGCCCCCGCGGTGCGGCCACTGGGGCTGGGGTCGGACTTCGGTTATAGATTGCTGCCGACGCTTCGCGGCCGGTCGGGCACCTGTGGCGCCCTCTAACATATCTCGGCCCGAGCGTCGCCAGCCCTCAGAGGTCCCGCGAGGCGCTGCCCGGCGATTGTCCTAGTCTTATTTTCGAGGCTACTCGCTTTTTTCAAGTTTCCGAGGACTTATCTATTTCAGCACTGTCGCGGAAGAGGTTTCCCATGTCCGGTTTCTCAATCTCTTTGGCCAGCAGCTCGTTCCAGAGCATAACAAAACTGAACATGTCACGCCTCGCCGGATTGCAGTTGAGCGGGTAGCGGAGAACTAGTTCCACGACTGCGAGGAGGAAGACATTGGTCTTGGTGCGGCCGTCGCCGAAGATCAGGAGCCTACTTCTGATAGAGTTATGAATCTGTTTACAGCTCTGATTCTCCGAATCGAGAGCCCTTTCGAGCGCTTTATCTGGCCAGAGCATGGTGAGCAGAGTTGCTCCAAACGCCCACCGATCTAGTTCCTCAGGGTGGGGGAACCCGTCCCTGAAGCCATGACGGGCTTGGGCTAGCGGATCGCGCATAGAGTTCCCCATGCAGCCACCATACGCATACTCGAAAAACTGAAATAAGCGAGCAGACGAAATAATAAAAAAGGAAGCCCTTAAATAGTTCACTTCAACGGGTCGACTTCTATTGGGGACGCCCGATTGCGCCCTTTCTTCAGTCTGACGCAATTAGATGCGCGACCATCCAAGCAGGGGAGTTCTTCGCGCAGTTGTTCAGCTTAAAATGGGACTTGAATTCGATAGCGGTCTCTCGTTCATGAATAAGAACGGCCATAAAGAGAGAAGAGCTCAGAACTAACTTAGATTTCATGACATGAACATGATAGATAAAAGTCAAAGGAACAGCGGCCGCGCGCCGAAGGCGCGCCCCAGCTCTCCCAGAAGGTCTCGAGATCCGCTACGCGCCGGCACGCAGCGGATCTCGATCTGCCTGGGGGTCTCGAGATCCGCTGCGCGCCTTGCGACGCCCTGGAGAGCGGGGGGGCGCCTTCGGCGCGCACCTCCTTTAGAAAGCTCCCGAACAGCTCGAAGCTAGACAGCTACGGGCGCTCTTTTTCTCCTTAGAAGTGCGCCCCTTTGTTCACCTTTGGCCATCTCGAGACGGTTCACCTGCGCCAAGCCATTGGCCTGGCATCGGGTGAGCGTCTGGAGATGCTCTGCGCGTCGCCGCGGGGGGGGGGTCGCCGATGCCACTTCGAGATCCCTCAAACCCCTAGAACAAAGGGGCGCACTTCCAAGGAGGCAGACCTTTCATAGCTGTCGCGCTTACAGTTGCGCTAAGGTAAGCGCTCCAAAGTCGGCGCGCCCCTGCTTTCCAGGGGGTCTCGCGATCCGCTGCGCGCCGGCGCGCAAGGTCCGGAATTTTGGCCCTGCCGGGCGAGTCGCTTTCTCGGCTTGTTCCACTAGGCCAAAACCCCGGGCCACTGGTCCGGAATTTTGGCCCTGTGGAACAGACCGCCTCCCCGGCTTCTTCCAAAAGGCCAAAACTTGGGGCCACTAGTCCGGAATTTTGGCCCGGTGGGGCAGGCCGCTCTCTCGGCTTGTTCCGCGCACAAGGCCAAAACCCGGGGCCACGCGCTCCGCCGACAGCTCCTCCGGTTTCCGACCTAAGCCCGCGGCGATGTCCTGCCTTCGAACCCGTTTGCGAAGCCGACAGTGGCACTACCACAAAACCGAAATAGAAATCATCGACTTCGACCGTATAGCCGAAAACTAAAAATGGGCTTCCTCTTTTATTTTCTACTCAACTCGCTTATTTCAAGTTTACGAGTAGTTCCTACGGCCCCCCTCCCTGGTGCGCGGTATGAAAATTGCACACCCTAAGTCGCTAATAACCGGCGCGCCACGATCATTGCCCAGAAGGTAGTTCTCCATCTTTATGTCTAGCGACGCTATTCCCGCCGCATGGAGTTGCCTCAATCCCTCGGCCATCCAGTATCCTCGACCGATGAATCTTTTCACTACTTCCGTCGCCTGGTCTGCGTCTGTTGTTGGTTGATCTTGACGTCGCGCAGCGAAGAGCGGCGCTATCTCTCCAAGATTCACAACTTGATCAAGCAAATCAGTCTCGTATTTGCGCATCAACATGAAGCTGTGCGGCTCCGGGGCAGATGTGAAGCCAACAGCGCGAGCGGCGCTTTGGAAAGAAACTGAAAGGAAAGCCGCACTGATCCGAACCATTCCGAACGTGAGATCCCTTGAGTTTCTCTAAGCAGCTTTCGTACTCTTATGAAGTCGTGACATGATTCTCTTTGGTACAATACCTACAAGCTAGAGCAGTCGCGAGTAATCTCACGAGTGCACTGTCTCTCGTCAGCATAACCGAAGCGAGGGCCAACCGAAGCTTCACTCCTTTTATCAAATAGTTTTGCTCAAAGGACCGAAGTCATTCGATTGAGGTGCTCGCAAAGGGAGGGAGACGCTAGGCAGTGTGCGGTACTGGCCAAAGCGTGGGTGGGAAAAAATTCAAGAACCAGCCACTCCTTCATTCTTTCTACTTACATCACCGATTTCTCAAGCTGCTTAATCTCTTACCAAGCGGCTTTCGTACTCTTATGAAGTCGTGACATGATTCTCTTTGGTACAATACCTACAAGTTAGAGCAGTCGCGAGTAATCTCACGAGTACACTGTCTCTCGTCAGCATAACCGAAGCGAGGGCCAACCGAAGCTTCACTCCTTTTATCAAATAGTTTTGCTCAAAGGACCGAAATCATTCGATTGAGGTGCTCGCTATCCGTGGTCGGGTTGAGCTGCTATTTGGAAAATTCGACCAACGGGAGAATGATCGAGAGAACACGGCTCTTACTGTAGGAAATTCTAGACTTCGCCATCGTGTCTTATCAAGCGTGTACCTCATGGCGGCATGAATGCTGCCTCATAGCTGTACTCAAAGGGCTTGCGGTCATAGGCATTCAGATGAGGATTTGCATGGGTTTATTACCATGGTGGAAGATCCCGCCTTATAACTGGAGAGGGTGCACAATTATAGTGGCCACATGTCATGCACTCTAGGGGGTGTGACATTATCATCAACGAGCCACATCATGAGTTCAGTTGGGAAGTAGTACGAAGCGTTGGTGTGTAGATGCCAGTCTTTAGTGTACCGGTTGAAAATATTCAGGACATTCTTCCTTGACCACCCAAAGTGATCGGCAATACGGTGTAATATATTTTTAGGCACAGTTTCTAGTGTTAGGAAACCACACTTGATGAGGACCAAGCGCACAACCAATGCTGCTGACCTCCTCATTCCATGTGGTGTTGTCTGACAATTTTTAGCGATCTGGCGTAGTTGTATTTCATTCATGTCAGCTGATTGGGGGCAGACGATCCTGGATGGGATCATGTTCATGAACATATCTTCTGGGTCAGGGTTGAACTTCATACGTGGCACGTAGATGACTGACCACTTTGGGTCCTCGTTCATGGTCTGCACATGGTCTCTAGATATTGATACCATAGAAGAAAGTCGAAAGGCTCCAGAGATCCACATAGCTACTGTGCGTCGATTCTTGAATGATAGTTCATTGAGTTTCTTGAATGATACGGGTAGGGCTTTTCGACGCGTAAACTCGTCACGTATGAGATTGAGGGAGCGACACATCTGCATCTGATTGTCTCTTCCAAACGGGCAACCAACCTCTAGTCTATTCAGTGCTTTAAGTCTTTGCATGGCCGTGCCAATGTGGTTATGATAGGACCGCGACATGTCCTGATCGATTAGGTATTTGCCGAAGAGGAAGATGTCTGCGAAGCTAATCTCGGGGATAGATATCTCGGCCCTACTAGTGGCATTCTTAGGGATCCTGATCTTTTTGTGCTCATTAGAGTTATTGCACCAAGTTACAAAAGCAGTCCAGTGACTTCTCCTTTGTGCCAAAGTCGATGCTTGAAGGCCTACTTCCATAGGCCACAGGGCAAGTTCTTGGCCGAAGAGTAGTTTACTCTGCCTGTCGCGGGGCAGGTTTCTTGCTCGCGATATCATTTTTCTTGTCTTTGTATACAGGTGCAATAACTTTTAGGGCTTCTCGCATGCATTCAGCAACCTCGTCAAGTGTTTCATTCAAGTGGGTTCTATGATCTGGCATGATTGTCTCAATGTGTCTGCTTTTTGTTAGTTCAAGAAACTTTGGCATCAGCTCCATCCTAGTGAGAGCATCTGCTGGGTTTCTTTTAGACTTAATCCATCTAACTTCAATCATAGTTTCCATCGCGAAGGAGTCTGCACAAATTATCTCAGCTAGGATGGCTCCTATTGGGCAGGCAGATTGGCCTTTAGTGATAGCGTATCCAGCACCTGCATTGTCATTGTACAAGATGCAGCCTGTATGAGGGATAAAGTCTGAAAAAAGGTTGAGAGCGACGACTACGGCAAGGAGCTCACACACGTATACTTTTCTATCTTTTAACTCTTTATGTTGAAACTTGTCTGGTGAGTTATACTGTGTGAACTTGTAAGAAAAATGAAGGGGCTTCTTCACGGGGTCGTAAAACAAAACGCCACCGATCCAGACTTCTTTGCTGTCTATTGAAGAAGCGTCAGGGTATAATTCTACGATCTTTGTGCCCAGTCTCTTTTTATCAATGGTGAGTGGGCTGCACTTAGCGATTGCCGCTGCTATGTGAGAAAAATACTCTGCAAGCATTGCTCTAGCGTTTACCGACCTTTTGAGACCGAGTATATGTTCGCTACTTGTATACTTATAGAGGGCTGAGATTATGTGGCCGACATTTCGATACTTTCTCCAAAAAAGGTGATAGCTCGCTGCTCCCATTACTTTTTGCATGTCAGTCAGGGAAATAGTATTGGCATAGACTTTTAGAAGGGTCTTACTTAGGAACGCTACAGCCTCATCTTTTTTGGCTTGTGGCATGTCTATGACCACTTCTCCGGTAGACTTGCATAAGAAGTCTGCACCTAATACCTCAGTAATGACGTCAAGTTGGCCTACAGCGTCCTTGTGGTCACTGGCTATTAGTCCTAAATGCTTGAGGAAATTTTTTATGAATTCATGCTGTGCTCTTGCAAGGTGTGGGTGCGAAAGTATAATGATATCGTCAACATAGACTAGGCACGCTATACCAAAGACCTCCTGTAGTACAGTCTCCAAGAGCCTTGAGATTGATCCAGAGAAGTGGAAGACCGAGTGGACATTACCGAAGGTTATTGCAGACGTGGTTGCATATTCTATCTTCTGCGTGTGCGGGTTCCAGAAATCAAGCATGTATGTTCCTGCGGGGGAGTCATTTGCTAGCTGGAAGTATGCACTAGACAAGTCTATTTTGCTGATAACAGGGGTAAACCCCATTTGCTCTTCATCCTCTGTCGGGACAGGGGGAGCACATCCAGTGATTGTCTCCAGCTCCTGCCACATCGTTGTCTGCCTCCTTTCTCGTTCAATTTGTTCCGTAAGGTGTCTCCTGGTTCTGATCAGAGGGGCTTCTACTAGTGGCGCTATGCATCTCTGTACTGCTTGCGTAATGACTGGGATAGACGGCAGTGTCATGTGTTCCGAGATGGCGGAGTATTTCTGGTTGTCAAGGGCTTCGTTAGCTATGCTCCTAATTTTCTTCCGAGATGCACTAGTCTCATCATATTTCTGCTTCAGGCTGAAGATCGGCACTAGCCGCTCGATTGGTTGACCTTGTTCGTTTAGAAGACGGCCGCTCTGTTGACACCTTACTGGTTTCTTACACGGCTTAAGGTGTGTGGCATTTGGAGGCATGTTCTGCAGGATCGCGTCGTATCCTCGTATTAGCTCTTCTCCATCTTCAAAGGCAAAGGGGGAGTCTCTCATCCGGAAGCATTCTTCTTTCAACAAAGCCTCTACTTCTTTCCTATTTTTAGGGCACTTAGCATAGTCCTCTTCTTCAGCAACTTTTAGCGGTCTGCCATCCCAGGTTCCGTACTTGTACACTCTGCCTAGGCTCGGGTATCCATTGTGCATGAAGCCACTCGGGCCATAGATGTCGCTGCGACGTTTAATGTCGAGGTAGTCAGAGACTGCTGCCCAAAAGAGAAACTTCTTCGCGTGACGGCGCTCGTATCCCTCTGGTCTTGGGTTGTCATTGACTATACGGACGGACTCGGCCTCGGGACCCCAGGCATGAGGCGAGTTGATTCTGTTCTTTGGGTCGTTAAAGGCTTTGAGCAGCGTGTTGAACTTTGATGTAAGTCGCAACTCTTCGCCCGCGTGCGTCTGTAGTGGGAGTTTTAGATCGTATGTCAGAAAATAGCATATTTGGTCGCTTTTGTAACTCAATCTTTTGAATTATATAGCTGCGGTAGCTTTATCCTAGCATAGAGGCTAGTAGGTTGCTATACCTTTTGGTGCTGCTTCTTGCTGCATTGCAGCCTGAATACGCTGTCCCGTATACCACAAGGGTCAAGCTGATCGCGAGCTGCTGTTGAAAATTCTAGGTAAGCTGAGACTTGTAGGTAGAAGGATTACAGGGCGGGTAGTTGTTTCTACTAGGCTTTATACGGGCGCTTCACGAGTTCAGTGGATTCGTCGCTATTTCAGGGCATGAGTGGTTTTTATTATACTGGTGTAGCTGCGTTGGAGTTTGCATTCATTACAGATCAGCAATGACTCTTGATGCTCAAAGGGTATTTTCATATTAATTTGTTTTCTTCCTTGTATTATCTATTTTCTAATTTTAGCAACATATTACGTGACCTCTCGTTCTTATACTACGTTTTTCTTTTCGCTGCACAGATATCACTCGTGGGACGGCGGAACTTTTCCTGGAACAAAAGATGTTTTAGAGTGAAAAAATGGAATTCGCGTGCTGGCGTCAGCAATTCTGAACACACCGGGACTCTTTCTGATCTGGGGAATGCTCGTAGCTGTTGCAGCTCAAGCTTGCAACATCTTTTTTCGTGTATAAACAAAAATTTTTAATTTCGCAGCATTTAATTTCGCTAAGGTCTCAGTTCACATTGTCTGTCCATGATGAATTTGCCAACATCATGTCTTAGGTTTGGTTTACACATGTGAACCCTTCCCCTGCCCCTTAGTAGGCGTCGTGCTGCAGTTGTGGCAATGCAATAAGTGACTGCATGCTCCGCAGTGTGGTAGCCACTTGATTACACCCAAAGACGACGGTTGCGTAATTGGATGTACTGCTGCCTGATGCAGTTGCTGAGGCTGCATTCTTGAGGCAGGATGCTGTGGCATCTGGGGAAGTGTGAACCGCTGCGGCGGCTCACTTGCACACCTACGATCTACCGCTGTACCTGGGAGATTGTGACTTATTTTAAGATAAGTAGGATTGCCAGATTTTCATATTAGTACAGGACACGAAGCAGATCAGATTCTAGTCATCAAGTAAGAGAAGGCGTTTTACCCTCTAGGGGTTCTGCCGGTAGGCAGCAGCAAGCTGCGAGGTGCTACTGTGGTACTCGCGAGTGCAACCAATTCTGCACGTTGGGACCAGCTTGGTTCCACGGGCAGTCTCTACTTCAAAGCCACATACCTCACAGAAGTAGACTGGGCACTTTCCAAACAGGTCTGCAGCCGACAGGCCTGTCTTCTGTGTGATAGTGTTGGCGCACTTCTGCGAGAAGCTTCCATTATTTTGACCCTTCTGCCCCTTTTTGCTTGCTGATTTGCCACCCTTTTTTCCTTTGCTCTTTCCACCTTTTCCTTTTCCGCCGTTGTCATTAGCGCCATTCCACGAGTTGTTGTTCCAGGCATATGGTCCGGAGGCATAGCGCTGGTTGATGTTGCTCTTGCCTGCCTTGCCGTATGAAGATGCTCCGCCATAACCCTTGCTCGACCCTTTCTTTGATCCTGACTTGGCTCGATCAATGTCTACGGGGGTCGTCTGTTTCACGAAGAGTAAGCGCTGCAGAATTGTCGCCTTCGATGCACTCTTGATCATCGTGCTTGGCTCCTTGGCAAAGGCTGCAACTGCGGATACCAGCTGCACCTGGTTAAGTCTTTGGAGATCTGCCGCAAGGCCAGGCGTAGCCTTGATATCTGCTTTCAGTTCCGTGTAAAGTAGGAAGTTTCCCTGGAGCGCTCCTGCAGCCAGGAGAATCATTAGAACCGCGTCTAGGCCTGTCACTATGCCAATCAGCTTTGTGTGGTGGTCGGAGGCGTAGTCGCGCACTTTGTCCTGCATCGTTACTACACCCGCAAGGATCTTTTCGGCTGCACGTATTGCCGTGGTCATCTTGTCTGTTGTGATCGCGAAGAAGACTGGCGGGATCTGTCCGCCTCTAAAGATGTTCGAGCCGCTTAACGTTGTCACCATGTCCCTGATGGCTGCTTTGATGTTGATGGTCATCGCCGGCAAACCATATAGGCCGCTCATGATGTCCTCGGTCTTTGAATCTGCAAGCACATCCGCACTCATGCGGTTAAGGCTAAGGATTGCGAGTGCGTCCACGTAGGCCTCCTCTTGTGTTTCATCGTTGCAGTTTACTAGTGATTTGGAGGCTACAATCTGGAGTGCTTGCTCATCTGCGAAGAGGCCGGCTACATGCGGGCACGACTTAGCGTTTTTGACGTCAATTTCCTGGCTGGATTCTATACCCAAGACCGAATAGGCGAGGCGCTTGATCTTCCTGGAGGCGACTGGGTTGATGATTTTCGGGTCTGGGCGTCCTCGGAGGCCTGGTAGGAAGGCGTAGAAGTGCAGGCACTCAAAGGCAATTGCTGCCTCCGTGTCAGGCATAGCAGCAGTGATGTGGTAGTTGCAGAGATCCGGGTCCTCAAAGAAGGGGTAGCCATACGGGCATTTTTTGGATTGCGGCCCATAGTTCAGAGCTCTACCATCAGCAGTTGCTGGGTCACCGTCTTGCTGGAAATCCCAGTTAGCGCAATCGTCTTCGTCATCCCATTCTTCTTGCGGGGGTGCTCGTGGAGGCGAGCCATTTTTGGCTCTGAATGCATTGCTGCGCTCTCTTGCCTGTTGCTGTTGGTTCGCAAATTCCGCAAATGTCGGGAGATTTCCTTTGCCATTAGAAGGCCCGCCTTTCTGGATCCTGCCTGATCCCTTTTGTCCTGACTGATGGGTAGGTCGCGCAGCTGGCTTGCCAACGCCTTTCGTTGTTTTGTGAGGTCGTGGCGGGCTTTGTTGATGTCGGGACTGGAGGTCAGCCGGGACCGTGTCGTTCGAGGTCAAGCCTGCTGCCAGGTCATTCTGTTCTTTAGCGTCTATGTTTCCATCTTCACTGTCTACTTCAGCTTCAAGGTCTACGACCATCTGGGCAGCGTCAGGGTCTTTCGGGATCCAGTGGCAAAGGTCAATGCTATCTGAGGCTAACTCCAAGAGCAGCTGGTCTTCGCCCGGGTGTGGTACCAGCGGCAGTTGCTCATGGAAGGGCTTGAAGGTCGGGTGGATTTCTTTGGTCTTGATCATTGACCAGGTTCTGTCGTTAATCCTGCACATCAACGCAAAGTTTTGCTGCGCTATCATTGTCCTCTTGATGGTCTCGAAGATGTACTCGTGCTCGGGATGAACCGTATCGAGCTCATACTTTCCATCTATTGCTATGTAGAGACTCAGCAAGTGCACGATGGTATAGCATGCGTCCAAGAGGTGAGGGTGCGGCGCTCGTCCTGATTCTTTTGTTGCTTCTCTTGCTTGCGCGCAATTTCCATTGAGCACATCCCAAACCAGATCGGGCACGATGCCAAGCACAAACTTTGCATGAGCAAGCGCATATCTGTATCGAATTATGACCATTCTAACGTCCATCGGGAGGAGGTGAAACAGGCAGGCGCCCGCACCTTGTCTGCTCGTTGCTGACTTGTAGTTGAAGAAGGCTTGGTACAGGATTGGCTCGAGAAAGCGACCAGTAACCACGTACTCAGGAAAGCTCTGCGGGAGGTCGTCTACTTGGCGATAAGCATCAAGAAGATCGGCATGAGTTGCGAATGCATCTGTGACGCATGAGGAGTCCTCAGCGAAGATGGAGGCCCTTTCGTTCACTGTCGTCATAGACAATACCTCACCCGAGAGGATCTGCAGAGCAAGTTCGCATGGTTCCTTCGTAGTCATGCGCTCCATTTCTGATGGTTTCTGCGTGGCAGAGCGGGCTGGGGAGATTAGCTTATTGCTCGCTGGGTCAGATAAAGCATTATCGCACTGGTGCACATAGTCCAACCACTGCGCCAAGGACCTCCCTCCAAATCTGAAGGCTTCGCCAGCGAGAGTTGGGTGCGCTATGAAGAGTTCCTTCATCTTCGGCAGGGCTTTGAGGTGTTCGATTGCATCTTCATGACTGAACTCATCGATGAAGGAGAGGCCAGCAACATTGCGATGGGTACGGCGCAGGAGCATGTCGCAGATTTCAAGACTGTGCAATTGGTTGTTGCCAAGCTCACTACTAACGACCCCTTCCATGCTGTCACCGACAGGCAGGCCTGTCTCATCCACTTCCATTAACTCTTCTTTGATCACAACCGATTCTACAGCCTTGTGGGCAGAGCTAGTCTGCCCAGCCTGCAGTAAGCTTGAGGATGCGGCAGCATTCCCGTCTACACCACTTAGTTCACGAGAGGCCGAACCTTGAGCCGAGCCAGAGGAGGATGCTGGTGCCATTCTTCAGGATGCTGGCCGGAACCGGGAGTGCTTGAAGGTCTCTTAAGGACTTCGCCGGCGGTTCAATCTTTGTGGAACCTGAGCAGAAGTTGGGAAGTGGTACCGACCAGGCGTCCTTGGAGAGGTATGTGAGAAGAAGACTAAATGAGTTTACTAACAGCATGCATCCTTGTTTTTATATAGGTCTGAACACGATGACCAGCAGACTTACAGCTGCTGCTTGTTAAAAAGTATCTTGCGCTACCTTATTTGGTAACCTTGACGGGACGCAGTCCACTAACACAAGGTGGGCGCACAATCAAAGTTGCACACACATGCCAGAATATGCTGGGCTTCATATCATGAGTGGGTGAGAATTATTGAAGGTGATACACACGGGAAGTAAGTACTACAAGAGGTGTAGTTCTGTGAAGGTTCATAAAAAGTATCGCGTTTTTGATAGGTGCAACATGTTGTAAGTACTCTTTGTGAGGAGAGTGATAGAGATATATGGCAGCGCTTACCAAGTTAAGATGTTTCTATGACACAAAAAAGTTTTTTCAAGTCGACTTTTTCGAGAACACCGAAAGAATATGGTATGACTATGGAGTTCAACTATTCGGAATACTCTACAGGCTCGATATATTAACATGGTGCTGGGTGTTGATTACTTAGCTACTTTTTGTTGACTCACAGGCGAACACTCAACCCAAAGAGTCATCAGGTTCAGCCGCACCGTCGAGCGCACTACCGAGCTTGTAGAAGGGGTAGCTGCAGCTTGCGAATCGGTGACTCCGGACACGTGGTAGAAGGAATAGTTGATAGGCTGCTGTTCGTGAACATCGTCGGGATATACATGCTGTTGAGTTAGTTGCAGCACACGCTCGCCGGCCAAGTCGCTCGATGCCATCTGGTCTTGTAGTTGATGCCAATGTTCTTGCACATGTAGAACAGTTAGTTGATGACATCGGGCCGAGTGCCGTGCTGTTGGGAAGCGGGTCGCTGATCGTTCAAAGCTGCGCTGCTTAGCTACTCATAAGTTGTTTTTTGGGAAAGAGGGAAAGGGTGAGAGATATATTTTCTACAAGGATGCATGCTGCTCATGTATGGTCAAGAAGAAGTGCGTATGGATAGTGGAATATGAAAAAACGGAAGTCGAGTTTATTACCTGTAAAGCCGCTATTGAGCCTCTGCTCAATCCTCCGTATCTCGTCTTGATGCTCGCTGCTTTTCAATATCAAGGAGCTCTTTCTCGTAGCGCTCCTTGACTATTTTCTCCTTCAGCTCCTTTTGCCGAAGCCGCCAGTCCTTGTCGTACACGGGCTTCTTTTCTTCGCCTTCTTGATCTATCAGCGCAACTGGACTCTTTTTGTCCACTTGAGGGTTGAAGGTTACTTTTTTCGCCAGTGCTTTAGCGCCTGCTTCTGCGCTTGACGAGGGTATTGGAGATGCAGGCAGGTCTGGGTTTAAGTCGCGAGCTGAGTCAGCCGGTGCACTAAGTTCATCTGACTCTGTCGGAGCTCCAGCGTCGCCGACGGCAGCTTTCTGCTGTTGAACGCTGCCTGAAGTTTGGCCGCCAGCTTTAGCTACTTGCTCGACCTCTTCATCTTCGTCGGAGGTGAAGACCACAGGGCTAGACTCAGAGCTCGAGAGGTCACTTGGCAGATCCTTCTTCTCGTGCAAGTTCTCCTTCTTAAGCTCCTCTTGTTGTCGAGCGACTAGTTGGTTAAGATCATGCAGGCGGTCAATCGAACCTTCTTCACCACTTTCAACCGCTTTCAATGCCTCTTTCAGCAGACGACCGTGTTGAATTTGTTGTGGGGTCAGGTCAGGGATTTGTTGGTCCAGGATTTCGTTGCACTCGCTCAGTGTCTGCTTTGTGCGAGGACTCACCTGAGACACGCAAGAGGCCTTATCGACAAGCTCTTCTTCGTCAGAGTCCACACTGATTCTTATCTTCTTGAGCTTGGGTTGAAAGATGTTGTCGCGCGTTTTTCGGGTGATCACAGCCTGCCGCACGGACGACGACGACGACGATGAGGCATTTTGTTGGTGGAATACTGATGAAGACTCCGGCATAGCTATCACAGATGCTACAGCTATTACAGATAGTCAAGTACCAGTACTTAGTGAGTGAGAGTGTTTTTAGATAACCAGGTTATCTAGAAACTTTGGCACTATGCCATTTGAAAGGGAGAGAAGGCATTAGAAGACTTAGTCAAGGAGTCTTGCAACAGATGTATTTATGTGCGGGGGGGGCGTTTTATTGTCCTGTGATTAGTCATGTGTTGGGCATAATTCTAGAGAGGTAGCACCACAAAGTCGCTCCATCGGTTCATTATATATTTTCGAGAAAAGATAGCTTCATCTTTGAAAAAACACATGTTTGAGGCATGACCGATGTATGTCAACCGAGGGTCATACTTTAGTGCCTCGAAGAAAAAACGGGGAAGGCCTAGCGAGTTTCTTGTTTTGAGGGCATGTCTGGCGCATCAAACCGATCACACAGCCGACAGCTATCTCCCTTATAGTCGTAAGGTTACTTTACACCGATCGCACCTTGAGTGGAGTTCTTCTCTTAGGACGAAAGAACACGAAGAGGTTGCCCCTGCTATGGCTGGGAGCGCTTTATTAGCCTGTTTACAGGTACTGACTGAGGGATTATGTTTATCTACCGTTCAACTCTCTTCAGTGCCCTCACGTAAAGGCTTGACATTGGTCTTATTACTGTGAAAGATGAGTCTTTACCAGAATGGAGTCGTTGTTTCATGCGTCGTCTTATGCCGTTGGCATTGAGAGTTCACAGCACATAAGTGCTCAAGGTAGTGTGTAAGAAAGATGCAGTTAGGCTAACGGTTCTTCGGACAGTTGCCAACAGTCACAACTTCTACGCAAAGCACCAGCAAAGAACCAGAGTCGCAGCATCCCTTCTGATTAACAGCTTCAGATATTTCTTCACTTGTCTCCCAAGAAACGGCATCTCTGGGCAAGGTAAACAGCTGTAGAAGTATTATGAGAGGAGCACTGTAATAGTTGAGTGAGAGGCAGTTCAATATTTGCAACATCCTCCTACAGATTAGCTCAGACAGGAAATCGTTTTATATAGCAGGAGGATGATGCGCCTTAGATGTTTTGTATATTGTAGAGAGGTCAAGCCATCTCATGTTACTTAACAAAGGCCAAGGCATTGGACCTTACTATTACCTTTCTGAGTCTTAGGGTCAGAGTCGTGTTTAAGAAGCATGGCTGCTTCTTTGGTTTCTGCTGCAGATTCCAGACTTCTTGCTGCTCTGTGGCACCAGTAGGAGGCCTGCTGGACTTGCGCGATGAGCACCAAGCAGAGTGCCATCTGGGTTGCTGCTGTCAGGTCTGTCTTCACCGCCAGGAACAGACACTGCATGCTCAGAAATTCCACAAGGAGCTGCAGGCAAACCTTCTTGATTTTCCACCACTGATCTGCCAGGAGCTGCGGCATACCACCAAAGGGCGCCACTTTGACTGGAACTAGGTATGTTACTCAGTTCGTAATGGGAGCAGGCACACCTCTACTGGTTACTAGAGCACTTTAGATTTAGAGGCTGTGGCTTTTAGATGACTCAGCTTTCATGCTTCCAGAGATGAGACCAACACTGTTTACTGCGTCTTTGAGTTTGTGTATCACCATGCTCAGTCTGCTTGTAAGCTTCTTGCGTTGAAGAAGACTCCTTTTAAAACACGAAAATTCTCGACCAGCGAACACATCTCTGGGCAGGCAAACGTCGTATTGGTTCAAGGAGAAGTAACGCAACAGCTCTTATTATTTGAAGACAGTTTTCTTTGTAAAGGTCATAATCTTGCGATAATTGTTTGGATTAATGGCTGTGCAGATGAGTTCCGTACGACGCCTCATGTTTAGGTATAGTGCATGTGGTTGCAAGTGAAGGCTGGGACGCTGGTTAGAAGACAGCGCCAAGACTTCTCAAGAGACTCTTAGCATCGTCTTCATTCACATCCAGTTTCGTCAGCTTACACTGTGTGCCATCGTGAAGCACGACTTTTAGCGTGACCGTTGCTTTGACCTCGCATAGAGAGGGCCTAGGGCTCTGCACCGCGGAAGCCGGCGGTGAGGGTGTGTGCGATGGATTCTCGATTTGATAATCTTCGAATGTTTGGCCGGCCGCACTGGCCGTGGTTTGGTCAGCATACTGGGGGGACATCTTTCAGTAGTAAGGGAGGAGAGAGGTTGTTTAGTTTAGTGGAGGATGATCTTTGTAATGATAGGATTAACATGGCTATAGATTGTGTGGAGAGTTGTATTTGAGGCATGTCGAAAGTTTTGTTTGTTTGGGCTATTAAGTTCATTGATACTTATTAGGTAAGAGGAGAGGTAGAGAAAAAACACCTGAGGGGCCGCTCTCCAAACAAAGACTTCTCGATACTTTCTCTATTCTTCAGGTAGGCCTGCCTTCTCTGTCACGACCGAGCTGTCTCCTGAAAGGGTGTCACACGAGTGCAGGGCTTCACTCATCCTCTGCATAGCAAGTCGCACTTGATCGGGCTTTATCCACTGTGAGAGGGAGGTGAAGTGAACAGTATCCCAACAGAAACTATCACTTCAGCTATGATATGAGCGCTTTTCACATTAGTGCTACAATGTTGTTTATATTCGTACTATCTTCAGTAAGCGAAATCATCAGCAAAAAGGTGAAGGTATCACTTTACCTTTGAGAAGCTAGATTTGGAGAAGCCTGTGCCACAGTGTACACAGACCTCCACAAGCTTGCTCCCGTTCGTTAACTGCGTCCGTGACCAAGGCGTGAGCGCCTCCGGGATGCTTGATCTTTGGATCGCGCTCAAGCTGCGTCTCGTTGGTGATGCACTCATCTTGGCTCCTACAGGGGATACGCCAAGGCCAAGGTCATCAACCGCAGGCTTACTGGTCATCCTGTGAGGGAGCAAGATATTATAATTTCTTGGCCTTGCGACGAGAAGGCCTTTTTAGGTAGCGGCGACTATCAAAGTTTTCTATTGGTGATTTCTTAGTGTTGCTGGTCAGGCACCAAAATCCAGTTGCTACTTGAGTATCGAGATGAATTTCAAGAGGGTATGTGCAGGACCTTGCGTGCTTTCCGATGCGCGCACTTTGTGTGAGAGTTCACAACTTCTTCAGCTCAATTTGCTTGCCATTCTTTTTGAGGCCCTGCCAAGGACTCTTTTTTCTGTGCAACTGTGCCTCTTCTGCTCTCCCGAGCTGCACTGCTTTCTGCTCTGCTAAGATGAGAGCGATGCTGAGGGCTCCTTTTTTCAGAAGATAAGGATTTATCATACAGGTATAGTCGAATAAGTGCAAGCGACTCAAACATCTCATAGCACAATGTCTATGCGATGCTCTTGAGGAGCTTTTCCGCAAATAGGAAAAGAGCCTGTCACTGATCGCGAGATCATTACATTGTCAGTTTCCAAGTGCGAAAGCCCTTGGAGCTGAATGTAAATGCAAAAAATTCAAGAGCCAGCCACTCCTTCATTCTTTCTACTTACATCACCGATTTCTCAAGCTGCTTAATCTCTTACCAATCAGTTTCAGGCTGTGAGGTCGTGATCCGTTGGAAACAAATGCATACTGGACGATTTGCTCCCAATCGCAAAAGAACACAAGTTTGACGCTTTTGCTCGTCGAGTGGTTTCTTCAGTGTTCGACTAATCTGACCGTAGGCCTAGACGCTGCTCTGCTTCCGATAAAATAACAAGTGAAAAGCTTATTATATAAATATGCACCAGGGAGGGGAGCCCCCCGCGAGGCTAAATCCTACCCCGCTAGACGCCAAAGCATTCCCTTCCCCCGTAGAAGTGCTCTCCTCTTGTGGTGTTCCTTTTGTGTCTGTCACGCTCCAAACCCGAACCGCAAGGCAGAACATGAAAAAAACACGCGCGACGCGCGACGCGCGTCACGCTCCAAGTCCAAGCCCGAACCTGAAGTCAGAAGGAACGTGGGAAAAACATGCGCGACGCGCGTCATACTCCGAGCCCGAACCTGAAGGCAGAAGGTGAAAAAAACACGCATGACGCGCGCCACGCTCCGAGCCCGGAGGAATCTTAAAGCAGAACGGGAAAAAAACACACGCGACGCGCGTCACGCTCCGGGCCCGAACCTCCAAGCAGAACACGAAAAAAACACGCGCGACGCGCGCCGCGCTCCCTCCAAGCTTAGGAAAAAAGGCGAAAAGAACACGCGCGACACGCGTCACGCTCCAGGTCCGAACCCTCAGGAAGAAGGTGCAAAAACTACGCGCGACGCCCGTCACGCTCCAAGCCCGAACCTTAGACACACGCAAAAAACTACGCGCGACGCCCGCCACCCACGCCCCAGCAAAGCAGAACGATACCGCGAAAGGCGTGGCCGTTCTTGTCTGGATGTCCTTGGCTGGGTGTTCTTGGCTGGATGTTCTTGCCTGGGTGTTCTTGTCTGCGTCTGGGTGTCCTCGTCTGGAAGTTTAGGAATTCTGGGGCAAGCTCTCGCAGCCCCTCAATTTTCCGAAAGTTGAAAAGTCAGCCAATTTTCCAGAAAGTAGACGCGTCTACCAATCAGTAAACAAGGACGCGCAAACGCGAGAGAGAGAGAGAGAGAGAGAGACACAGAAGCAAGGCGCACCCCCTAAGAAACATCTGACGAAAGCCGACGAAGCTACAGGAAATTGCGCTGCTCGGTTTTTTAGTCGCTCCCTGGCAGCTTGGTACTTCTGCTCTCGGTTGTGTGAAAGAGAACCGTAAGCCAGAACGTCACTGGTGCGGGAGAGAGAGAGGCCTCCACTCCAAAAAGCCGCGCTGCTTTTTGATAAGGCCGCCTGTTCCCCCGCTGTTTTTTTGAGTAAGTAGACACTTTCGGCCGTCTTCCCTCTCATCTTTTTCTCCGCATCGAAGGACCGCAGAGGCAGACGCATCTACTAATTGAAGACGCGTCGAAGGTTCAGAAATGACTCGGAAGGCCCAAAACCTCACTGCGGATCTTCTACACTAAAACCAAACAGAAAACGAAGTCAAAATAGAGACACGAAGGCGACAGCCCAGCTCAGCTCTAGGATAGAACGCAAGCAGGCCGCTCATCCTTAGAAGCTCCTCGCCCATCTCCTTACCAAGGCACTACAAGGAAGTAGCTGCAGCGTGAGGAGACCTCCCGCCAGAAGTTTCGGCGTCCTGGTAGTTATCGGCGGCGATGATAATGATGGCGACCCCCTTTTCATCGCCAGAAATTTCGGCGCGTTGTTTGGTAGTGATAGCCCGACAGTAATGATAACGATGGCAGCCCCCTTTTCATCGCCAGAAGTTGCGGCGCGTTGGTAGTGATCAGTGGCGACGGTGATGACGTATGGCCCCTACTCAGCCGCGCGCTTGATGGGGCTTAGGTGTGGCTTATCTTATGGCCCGACGATTCCGCATGTATGGCTCGACTAAGTCAAGCGCAATACCCACACGGCGCAGGAGCCTCGTCATACTTCCTTCGTTCGGCTTTGCTTTGGTGCTTTTCGCAGTTAGTTACTTGCGTATCTGCTCGCTCTCTCTTTTTGCGCTTGATTCAGCCCCTAGCAATGTTTATCCTTCCAGCCAGTGCAGACAATACTATTAGCTCAGGCACATGCTCAGTCGTCATCTGTTTGGTAGGATAGCCCAAAACTAAAGCAGTGCCTTACTAGTCTGAGGCTGAAGCTATTGCGTGGGGCCTAGATCTGTTTGGTGTTTTATTTTCAACGAAGTCTATCCCTAGTAACGTAAGGTGGCTCTGCCAATGTTATAAGTCACTGCGATAAAATGCTGGCGAGCCCGTCCGGCTTGAAGAAGCGTCGCGCGAACAACGACGCGCCGGAGCAGATTTCTGCGCAGCAGCTTGCAAACCCGCTCCGCACGCCGTTCACACCTTTGAAGCCACGCCCACAGCAGCTGGATCGATGCTGCCACGAAAATGGCGCGCGTAATCACCGAGGGGCCCCACGTCGTGGCGCAGTTGCCAACGGGCATGGGAAAGACCGCGATCAGCCTCGCACTAAGCCGCAGCGTGCGCTGTGATGCGTCTGGTCGCGCTGCGGTTGTGAAGTGACGCGGACGCACGAGCGGGGGCGCAATATTTTAGCTGAGGCCAAAAAGATGGGTGTCCGCGCGATGGTCCGCACAAGTCGGCGCGAACTGTGCCTCGTTTCGGAGGTTGCGGCAAACGAAGACCCCAACCTGGCGCGCAGCAACAAGGTCGCCGGGCTCGGCGGGTGCAGCTTCCACAAGCACCCTGACCAGGCCGACATCGAGGGCATCGTCCTCGGCGTCACTCGTTTCCAGGAGGAAGGACAGCGGCGAGCACCATGTCCGTACTATGTCCCTAAGCGGCTTACAAAGGTACCCGCTACTTATGTGCTTACTCTGCCAAGCTGATAGATTTAATTGACAGCAAGCCGATGCGCGGGGTCTCCTTGTAGGGCGATACACTGCTGGCGCCCGTTCTATCTTCTTCGGCTTTTCGACCAAAGAACTCACCAACCTTGATACCATCTGGCTGCGCGTTTCGTTACCCGTCACGACTTGCCCACCCAGGCAGTCTCTTACTTTACAGCGATATAGCGCGCTGGTCACCACGTTCCCGCATTGGTTGCGACCGGGTTTAGAAAGTGCGCGGCGTGAGCTCTTGACCGGGACGAAGCTGGTCATCTTCGACGAGGCCCATAGCGCTACGCTGATACTGAAACTGAATAGAGCTAGTCCTTTCCTCATGTTGAAGCTGATGCTGCTAAGCGCTGCGCTTCTCACTTCCCAGAAGAGGCAGAAGCTGGCTAAGTATTCACATTATTAACTTAAGCGCTTTGCTTTCCGCGTCGATATATATACGAGCCCAAGCGAAAGCGCTAGGCTGTAACAGTAGCTGCTCCACCGTGGGCGCCGATTTCATTTTCTAACATAATGCCGGGCGTTGTAACTGCTGCCGAAACCGCTTCCGCGCCTCATCCTCGCTACGTGCCGCTCTTGGAGATAGAAAAAGCACGACACCGCGACCGCCGGGCCGGTGGCCGGTGGAGCTTCCCAGCGCGGTCGTTACATCATTAGCTTTCGTCAAATTGTTTAGCGTCGTTCCCTGGCTACAGCAAACGAGTGGCATGCTTGGAATCGTTAGAAGTAGTGGCTTCGCTAAGTCAGAGTGTACAGACGCCGGCTGTTGTGAACACAGTGCAAGCATGACTTCCCAAGCCAAAACTCTGCAGGCCGTTGAAAAGCTGAAGAACCTCGCTGCAGACCGTGCGGCCCCGCATGCTTTTCGCCAAACGCTCAAAGCTCCGGGCGCAAAGGTTTATCCCATGTCATGGCAGGCTACTCAGTAGGGTTTTACTTAATTAATTAACTGCGCGCCGCTTCGACTCGGGTAGTTTGTTTGGCCTCGATATAGAGGGGGGCCACCGATCTCGTTAGTTTGACTAGGTGGCAAGGGCTCCTTGCTGATTGCGCCCGCGGTTCTACTTCAGCGGAGTTTCTTGGCTAGCTTCGTCGCTCTTCTTTTCTTTCCACTTACGTCTAAAAACGCCAGCCAGAACCGGCGCGCCGTCTGCAGTGACGTCCGGAAGCAGTAGCGGCAGCAATAGCTCTACTTCTAGCCCATCTAGCTCTGTGAGCCCAGCACAGTGGCCATCGGATAAGCTGACGGAAGTGAGTGGCGCATCCAGGTCCGCCATCTTCAGAGAGATCGCAAAGTCAGCCACGCTAGTGCCCATGCCTAGGGCGATGCTTCCTGGTGCGTTGACTCCGCCGATGGCCGAGGCTGAGGCGGTCCTCCGTTCAGATGTGAAGGGGGTTCGAGTTTTTAAACTCAAAGAGGGGCCTGCGCGGGTCATGGTGGTTTGCAGCGCGGTCCCGAGTCTGTCGCAGGTAGGTGCCGCAAGCCTCCTCCGCCGGAGTACATTCGGCCCGAAGTTCGTCCTCAGTGAACGCCGGACATACGTGGCTGAAGTGGTCCGCTTTTGTGTCCATCTTTGGAAGAAAACGCAGCGCACGACTGGCCTGGCCGTCGTTGCTTGCGTCTCGTATGCGTCGGCAAAGGAGTTCGCGCAACAAGCGGAAGACCAGCTTCCCGACGTTCTGGTCGAAGGCCAAGGGGATCAACAGCCGAGCACCCCTGTTTCTCGGTTGTTCTTCGTCATGCACGGTGGGAAGCTCACTCAAGAGCGCAGGCTGCGTTTTTGCTCTCTTTGGGCTCCTCTTCTCTTTGGTTCTTTTTCTGGTAACTTTGCAAGTTTTAACAATTTGCTTCGTATGAGATTTCTCAAAAATGGCCACGACTACTCTAAGAGTACAAAAAAACTGCCACCACTACACTACGAAGGCCGAAGCCCCGTATAGAAATGGCCACGACTACACTACGAGCGTTTGGACCTAGGAGAAAAGCGACCATGACTAAGCTGCGAGGGCTTAGCCAGACACTTCTTGGATGTTGAGACTGTCGGGGGTTACCCCTGATGGCCTCAGAGTTTGCTTCGGATGCCAGACAAGCACCTCCTAGAAATTGAGAGTATCGGCGGTAGACTTTTTTGTCGAGCGCTCGACGGAAAAGCTTCTTTACCTCTGATAGTCCCAATTTCCAAGAAGTGCTTGCTTCGCATGCCAGCCAAACTAACACTTCTACTAGGAAGTTGAGGCTTCCGGGGGTGAGCTTTTTTGTCAAGCGCTCGACGCAAAAGTTTATTCACGACCGTCTTGATTTCCAGAGAGTGCGGAACCCGAGCACTCAACGAGATGGCCTGCCGTCTCTTGTGAAAAGTGGCAGCCATTTTTTTGTAGAGGATGGCCTT